GGAGGGGTGAGTATGGCTTTTCCGAAAAATTCTCAACCCCCGTTCTCCGTCCCCCTTTTCCACGAGGCATCCACTGGCGAAGCCGATGATTTAACCCCGAAGTTGCGACTGTGGCTCTCTTATTGTGGCTCCCGACGGTGGCGCCATCTCTCCGAGACTTCCCTCTCACTCTTAACCTTGAGGCGGCATAATGTGAGAATTAAAAGAAATATATGTATATATGCTGTCTCTTTGTCCGAGATGTTATTTTTCGTCTTTTCTCCGTCTTCCTTTTGTTCTCTGCTTTTTCCTCTCCTTTATTGTCTTTCGCGCAACTCGCACAAGCGCCGTCGCGAAATGGGGCCAATCAAGGTAATTCCCCTAAAAATACAGTTTTAAAATACCCCTTTCTGTTTTGCTTCGCGCCAAAGGAAATGGCAATAGCCGACTGCCTGCGCCCTCAACTGTGCCCACTGTTAGTTTGCAGAATGAACGGGAATGGTAGCGGATACTCCTGAAACGGTCGGACAGAGCCGAACGGAAAAGGACCGTACTGTTGAACCGGGTGTGTATGTGTATATAGAGACGGGGACCGGACCGTCGGATGTTTTCTTTGAATTAATCGACTGTACGCGATGGCGTATGCGAAATGTACGCTCGAGGCGCCGTGACGTCACTGCCCGGTTTTCCAGGCGCACGTTGTCCAGCCTGCGGGGCAGGTGAAAATCTACTCGCTCTGTTCCACCAGTTATGTCGGTCGTTCATTTAATTCCTCACGGCTACCAACAGCTTCATCTACTCCCAACAGAACGTACATACAGATTCCTGTGGCTTACCATCCCTTTTCTTTTTTTTATAGGCTATCATCCCTCTTTACCTACCTGTGGATCCCGAGGGATGCTGGCCGATTCGAAAGTTCCGGAATTCCTTTATTTTTTTTTTTATCTCGAAATTTCAACAGAAATAACCGCTACCTCGGTTAACGGTAAATTCGTTCGGGGGTCTAAATTTTCCTACACCCTCTCCCTCAACGTGGTAAATTCGACTATGACGTCGCGACGAGCGAATCTCATTTGAATTTTTCCGACGCTTCCCGGGAGTCTTCCACGTGGTCCATTGAATATTCCATAAATAAATCGGCATTTAATAGAAATCAGGCACCCTCATCGCTCACTGTCACGAGCGAGTCTCCCATTTCCCCACGTCTCACCTCTTTCTCTCTTCCCCTCCACCCTCTAACCGTATCTCAATAATATTCAGTTTATAAACTTTGAGTGGCTCTGCTATTACTCCTTTCGCCCTGCACGTCCTCGTGCACGGGGCGC